TACTATTCAGGCACACAAAGGGCAAGAGAATTCCCCCAAACTGGAAGACCCAGACGAGGTCTTGGAGCACGGGTCTGAATTAAGTACCAATGTAATAGGGGAAAAAAGAATTCCTTCCCTCTGCAAGGCTGTTTGAAGATAGCCATGATGTATCAGAGGAGCCTCTCTTGTCCCTATTGTGGTGGTGTTTCCTGGGAGGCAGAGCAGTGCCCTGATCTCTGTTGTACAAAAAGGGAGATCAAACCTAGAGGCAAAGGGCAAGATCCTCAAATGGGATTTGCCACCTAACTCCCACTGATTTTGATGCTCCTATACATCCTCCCTTCCAAAATGGAGTTGTTAATGTCAGGGCAGCAGGCAGGCTAATTAACCCCCAGCTAGCCTGGATTACCTGCATGAGTGTGGCTGCCTGCTTATAAGCATCTGCCCTTTCAGTACTCAGTAGGCTACTCAACAGGACAGATGCTTCTTTGCTTGGCTCCTGGCCTGGTTTGAACCCTTGTTCCAGGTTCTTGTCCACTGGTTCCCAGTTCCTAATCCCTAACTCCAGCCTGGGTCCCTGCTTCCTGACTACTGGCTCCTGACCCCCTGGCTTGTGGCTGCAATCCAGACCCCTGCTTTTAGCTCTTGACCTTGCCTGCTCCAGGCTCCCTAGCTTGCAAAATTTAGTATCAAGCTCCAGGTGACCACCCACATCCTGGTCATCCCTTGACAACCAGGTCCTCAAGTCAGCTAGGCTCAGATTCTCTGTGATATTTTTCAGGGTCACCCAGGAAATCTGTGGCAGAGCAGGGTTTGGACTCAGGACCCCTCAGCATAGTCTGGTGCTCTAACACTAGACTATCCTTCTTCTCTAACGGTTTGCGGTGGCTTTCACATCTAGGAATTATCTGTGAGCTACTGGAGTCAGATTCCAAACTGTCCTTGACATTGTGAGCAAGGGTCCAGGAATACGGGCACACTGGACAGCTCAGAATACGTGCATGCCACATGCTATCAATGGAAGCATCGCACTATTGGTATTTGAGATGGATCCACAGAATATAGATCCTGGCTACTCACGGTGATTGTGGCTTTGCATGGCAGCTGCACAGGAGAGGAGGATTTGTTTCCTAGCCCAGCTTTCTCATCTCCTGAGCCTGGCAGAGGTAGAGATGCTACATATGCAGCATAATCTAGCTTGGGAAGCGGGCAGCTTCAGAACCTGAGTCAAGCTCTGGAGAGAGTCTAGTCTAGGCCCCTAGTGCTGACCAGATGATGGCTACAATATGGGGTTTCCCAGGTAGAGGGATTACCCTCCCTGCCCACAACAAAGCAAAGGGACTTCTACGAAGGTACCACATAGCTAAAGATTGGGTATGCTGCCAGTGCAGGGATCAAGCAAGGTCTCAGATCAGCAGCAAATACAATCCTTACCTATGCCTCAACCCTGCACTACCCATGGAGAGAATAAACAGTACCACCTTCAGCACCATGCCTTAAGCTGCCTCCTACTGGGGGTCAGACATGCCATCTCAGCTGGGTTGGTTGGGTAAATGAGCTTCAGGAGATATAAAGAAGTGGAGAACATTGCATGTTAATGAGCCCTTCTATAAACCAAGCATTAAGGGATGCATCTACCTGTGTGCTTAATGGCTCAGTAGACTAATTTGCTGCGGTGTAAATTGTCACATTCTACACGTGCAATGCTACTGGAGTGCAACAAACTAATTTTCACCACCATAAGACAGTACTATCGGGGACAAGTACTATCTTATGACAGCAAAAATAACTCCACTGAAGCACATGTGTAAATGCTGACCTGGGCCTAAATTGCACCTGGTCAGCTCAGGCAACAGGGGGCCAGGGCCTAGCCACAAAGCTCTACTCTTTGGGCACTCTCATGCCTCAGTCATCCTCATCCGTCACCTGACACCACAACCTGGAGATGGGAATGACACCCCCCCGAGCCTGCTGTCAGCCTGGGGCTGCTCCTCCCCAGCTCAAACTGTTGTGGTCGTGGGCACATGTATAGACACTGTGCCCAGGAGCCATTAACTCCAGCACGAACTGTGCCAGCATTTATTTTTGCATGCTAATTGCATGGTAGATGCACCCAAGAAGACCCTTTAGCAGGGCTACTCTTCTCTCCTTTTACCTGGAGCTAGCTCTCAGTGCTGGGCTTACTTCCTTCAGAAATGGCTACGGACAAAGTTGGGTGGGACAGACTATGGCAATGCTCCTCCACAACCTTTTATCTCCCATGGCCAAGAAACCTGATTTCCAGGAGAGCTCCTACAGCTTCTCTGAGCCTAGCCATAGCTAAAGCCATAAATCCCTTTTCTTCATGCTGATGGCGTAGGCAACCCTGGACATCCCTGTTCTCCCTTTATACAACAGGCAGGTACAAGATGGACAACACCAGGGGAATTTGCTTCCATCTTTGTGGTGCTTCACCCTGGCCTGGAATGGTCTTTGCACTATGGATCCAGTGCCTCTTTAGCCTTTATGTTAAAATAACCAACAATGGTATAAATGGTGGTTCCCGTGCTGTGGACCTGCCAGCTCTGGACTGGTGCCTACCAACCAGGGTCAGTAATAGGACTGGTGACTGTCATATGAATGTTAAGAACCGCTACACTTATTTTAGGTGGCCTGCCCTGCAGTGTTGGTCTATCTGCGTCCCCCCCTGCACCAAACACCAACTGAGAGAGAGGATCTCTTTGTACGATAAGCCAGGCCCTTACTGCTCCTTGTGAGACAATGGTCTTCTCATCCAGTCTGAAGGCAGTGCCAATCCTCTGACGCACCTTCGGGGGCTTTTCTCCTGGTTTCAGAGGGTACTCCTGTGGCAGCATCCCAGTTAGCTCCTGTGTGGAGAAAGGGCATTGAGGGTGGCACAGGCATCTTCTAGCAAATGTAGGAGTTACACCATGGGTATCCCCTTCCTTAGGATGAATGGAGAAGCTTCTCAACAAGAAGGTGATTCCAGCCAGTGGTGACATAGCACTGGCAGTGGGTCCCTCATGCACAACCTGCCTAGCCCTCACCACCCTGTCTGGGATATTCCACCCCATGTTTAACCCTACAGTGCTCCTGCTGGACCCGACTCCAGCCACTGGGGCTCCTGAGGAGAGGCTGCAGTCAGTGGGCAGGGGGAACATGTGACTTGGGTCTGGCTAGAAATGTCCATCCCCAACCTTGCATCTCCCATGGCCAGGCAATGTGATTTTCAGCAGAGCTCCTAGTTTCTCTAAACCTCGCCATAGCCAAGTCATCTCCAAGAAGCCCATGTGATTCCACCAGTGATGAGGGTCCCTTACCGCCTCACGCAGGCAGAGCTTTCTCAGCTCCTGCAGGCAGGCCTCCAGGTGTGCCTCCAGTGCCTTCTGTTGCTTGTGCACTGCCTTGGTCAGGTCCTTCAGGGGTGACACAGGGCTTACCTGGCCTGTTGGGGACAAAATGAGCACTGATTGAGCAGCTGGAGGAAGCTGGTGATAATGGGGCTAGCCCAGGGGTGGGCAAAATATGGCTCATGGGCTGCATTTGGCCTGCCAACTGATTGCATCTGGCCTGTGGGTGGGTGCCCACCAATTGATTGTATCTAGCCCAGGGCAGTCCACACTCCTGCTTGTGCCCCCTGATGGCCCTGGCCACTGTTTACAGCTTCCCAGTGGGGCTGCTCCCGCCTGGGTCCTGCTAGGTTTCCCTCGCCTCCAGTGGCTCCTCCTTCTCCTGCCCCTACTATGCCGCTCCAGGCAGCAAGTAGCACTGGGAAGTGGTGGCAGTGGCCATGGGATGTGCATGGCTGCAGCTTCCCCACCCTTCCCCTCCGCCCCCAGCTGGCTGGGTGTGTGATGCCTTGCATGTGTCCCCATGGCCACCACCATTGCTTTCCAGTGCTACCTGCCGCCCAGAGCAGTGTAGCAGGGGCAGGAGGAGGAGGAGGAGCTGCTGGAGGCAGGGATAGCTGCGCAATACCCAGGCAGCTGCAGCTGCACTGGGAGCAGCCCTGCTGGGAAGCTGAGTGAGCTGCCTGGGGCCAGGGCTGGTGCTGGGTGTTCAGCATGGGCTGTCCCGGGTGGGAACAGGCAGAGCTTGGCCCCATGCAGAGTGCCACGGGGGCAGCCACGGGATGGACGGATGGTGTTGGGACAGGGGACAGTAGTTGCAGGGCATGACCTGGGCGAACTCTGCTGCATGCCCCCCTGCCCCTCCCCGACCCTCCCCCCAGATGGCTCCTGGGACGTAGCACATGGGCAGCCCCCCCCACACAAATGCACACCACTGCACACACATATGCACCACCCCACGCCCCCTATACTCCCCACCCTCCACACACCCACACCCCTCTCCACACCCCCACAACCCCTTCCCCACAATACACAAGATTAAGACTTTATTTTGAGTTATTATGCAATCGCCTCTATATATACTACTCAAAGAAACATACATCGGGACAAATCTTTTTTGAAACAGAATTAAAATGTGTTATAGTAGATGTTTGATTTTTAGTATATGATTTGTTTTCTATCTATAATTTGTTAAAATGATATCTTTAAAAGACTTTATGTGTGTGGCTCTTGACAGCTCACCAAAACTCATTAAGTGGCCCTCCAGAAGAAATAACTGCCCACTCCTGAGCTAGGCCCTAAGTACAGGTGACAAGTTTGGGGCTCTTGGGACTCAGGGCCCCACGTCCCATGCAGTCTCTGAAGCCCTAAACCGGTAGGAGAAGGAGCAGCTTATCCCTGCCCTAACCTGGCACCTCCCTTCATGCCAGCTAATCCAAGGCTACAGAATGAGGCACAGAGTAATGCAGCAGACAGAAGAATGGAAATTTCCACTGCACTGGGAAGGAGCAAAGCAATGCTGGCACCAAAAGTGACTCTACAGCCTGGGACAAGTTACAGCCCTGCTGTGCCTCAGTTTCCCCATCAGACAATAATACAGATGACTTGCAGCAAAGGCCACTGCAAGGTTTTAATTAAATAGTTTAAATCAACTTTGATAAGCATTTTGAATGTGTCACGTACTATTATGCGGTGCAGTTCCAGACTAATTGCTGTGAAGACGCTCAAGTCACCACAGGCTGCTCTGTGCTGCTACCCCAACCCTAATAAACATTAACACTTAGCACCCCTGGCACAAACTAGGTTACCCAAGGGTGCTATAACCTATTGTCTCTGTTACAATAACACCTAAGGACCATGAACCAGAAATCAGAACCTCATTGACCAGGCACAAAGCCAGGTCCCAGCCTCACAGAGCTCTCAAGTTAAGGTACAGGTTCAGGGCCCAATCTAGGGAAATGTCCACTACCCTCAAGTTTCATTTCCTTACAATTACTAGATCCTTTTGTAGGATCAGCCTCTTTAAGCAGATCATCTCACTCATTACAGATGTGCATTTATGAAGGAAGCCTGGAATTTTCCCCCTTTTTTCATGGAAGAGGCACTTCATGCAACATCAAACTTTGCTGGGGGTAACAATCAATTGTCCTGAAAAGTTCTGATTTGCTTTCTGGAGCATCAAAAGGAAACTTTTTTTTTTCAGTCAGACTGACACAAATCGAAAGATCCGGGTTGTAAAATCAAATGGAAATGTTTCATTTTGAGTCAGCTCAACCCTAATCTGTGTCTGCCTGAGCTATTGCAATGCCTTAACTATAATTCGGTAAGTCTCTCCCGGATGGGCCTCCCTTACCAGCTCTAGACATCTCCCATGGTTTACTAGAGGCTGCTCC